AAAAAAAAAAAAAAAAAAAAGTGAGCCCATGATTTTGGTGTCTTTCCAAGATATCCCCTTTGAGACAACACAAGCCAAAATATTTACAAAGGTAAGGCATAGTCAAACTACATTAAGAAGGGGAAAAAAATCACAAGGAAGATACATGAAAGAGAGTAAAGGCTGCACCATAACAAGGTCTCAGTGAGAACAGTGTCCATGAAAACGTGATTCAGAGTTGGTGAAGTCGAGCATGCTGCAAATATACCCTTTGGATTAGAAAAGAGCAAACATTTCTGGTTTTTCTGTTTTAAGAAGTGGCGTACTGCTCTCCCTTTGGATGATTTCTTTTAAACCCATCAAAGAAAAAACAAACACAACTCAAACAAACACGGTCAAGTGATTTAAGATCAAATATTTACAATAATCAAATGGAGTATCAGATTTGTTTTCTTTATTATTACCTTTATTTATTTATTTATTTTATTTTTTATATTTTTTTGCAAACTGATACTACAAATACAGAGCTGAAACCTCTCTTTGGCTCCTCTATATGCAAAATTGAATCCGTCTTCACTGAAGACAGTATGTAATCAGTTCCAGGCGCAAAAAGAAACAGTCATACGAGGCCCTAAACACATGCTCCTCCCCTACCCTTTGGTCCTACCCTATATACCTGGTGACCCTAGAATTCCAGTCCCTGCCTGGGTAGGCTGTACACACGGGCGTGGAGCGAACCTATGGCCCGTATCTATACAGCATGTTCTGTTCTTCCAACAAGAATGGAGCAAATCTCTCCCATGGTAATAACCAATTCCACACGTGGGAACCTCGTCTAATACAGACAACTGGTGTCATTCTGACACCTGCGGCCGTGTACAAAGAAAGCAGCCCAGCTGATGCTGCCAAGAGAAACGGCTAAAGGAACGGACACATCCGGTGAGGCGTGTGGGGCCTCTCACGTGGATTGCAGGGAGCCCGCCTGGTAGACGTTCTGGTTGGAGGGGGTGGTGAAATAGAGCTGCTGCGTGGGGGCCCGATTGTCACAGGGGCTGCTGAGTCCAAGCGTCCTCTCGAAGTCCAGCAGCTGGCCCATGAAGTTGAAGTTGGGCGAGATGTTGGATTTCTTCATCTTGACAATGTCATAAGCATCATTCATTGACAGATTGAGCTTCTGCATAAGATAAGCCACAGTTACAGTGACCGAACGGCTGATGCCAGCCAGGCAATGCACCAAGACGCCACAGTTTTTGCCCCGGGCTTCATCTGTAAACACAAAAAGAAAGGCAAGCTTTCAGTAGACCGAAAACCACGCTTTGTGAATGATTAGTCTAAAAACTGAGTTAAAGGAAAAGACAAAGAAAAGAAAGAAAGAAAGAAAGAAAGAAAGAAAGAAAGAAAGAAAGAAAGAAAGAAAGAAAGAAAAAAGAATCGTGTGTGGCAGCTGGACCCTGCAGGCAGCAGAAAATGTATCATTGAGATAAATCATGTACACTGGGCACAATTACATATTTCAGATATTTTCTGAAAAGGGAGCTTTTGTATTAAGTTTCTGCCAACAACAACAACAAAAAATCCTTAATGTGTGCATTCTTTGCCTCAGCATGTGAATACCAGAAACCCTGCAATATGGTCTTGAATGCCTTTTATACAGACAAGCAGACTGCAAGGGTCTATTAAATTATTCTCCAACTGTTGTGCAGCTAACAATGGAGGTATTCAGGCATTTTAAAAGAGAGAGGGAAGTCACAGGGGACAGCCCATTAGGAGGAACAGGATGTCGACATGGCCTGAAAATGAGTTCCTTTGTAATAGGAAATGCATTACAATGCCTGGAGATTCGCTTCTCCAGGCTTCCAGCCCACAGTCCTTCCTGCTGGGCTCAGGTTACCCTCACTGTCTCACTGTGAACCCGTATCACAGTAACATTCAACTGAATTACAACATCTAGCATTCATAGGGCTTTCCAACAACTAACCTGATGTCCTAAAATAACTCTCAGATCTTTTAAAATTATAAAGCAGTGCTAAAATTCCTGTCAATGGGGAGGACTTCTAGCTAGCCTTTTCCGAGTCCAAAGACTGTGAGAAAATTCTGTTGCCCGATAATACACAGCCCGCTCTCAAATGACTGAATTCAAAGTGTCAGAAAGCACCATTTCAAAGACACCTGTGGTCTGCAGCCATGTCAAAAGGCACTTTTTCTTTCTTTCAGCAAGTAGATAAACCAGAATTCCCTGCTTGTAACATTAGAGACCTGCAATCAGACATGCTAACAAGCAGCAAGAAAGGGTTAACAGCTTAAGTTCTATGAATGGCTAGGAATTTTGCATTTAAAAGTCTGAGGAAGGACTCTTAATTAGTCTCACCTATGAAAGAAATGGCCTCAGGGAAAAACTGGGACAGGTTTTGACTCCAGTGATCCGAGATGGGGATCTGCTTGTATTTAAACTCTCCTGCGTTCTCAAAGAGATTCGGCAAATTGGGGGTGACGTTCAAGATGTACTTGATGCCGAACTCCTCCAACACGTCCAGGTTGGTGGAGTCCTTGGCACAGCCCAAATAGAGGAAGGGCAAGATCTCCACGGGGAAAGAAGGCTGGCTGTTGGACAGCGGGCTGCCATCCGAGTCCGTTGCACTATTGGGGTCTCGGTCAAGGTCAGACTCAATGTCCGAGGAGGAGTCAGAGCTGATCCGCAGGCCCCCGAGCCCCAGCACTGGCAACGGTGGCGAGCTGCTGCTACATGAGCCGTCTAGATTCGTCTCGCAGTGCAGGGCGAACTCGGCTTGGAACTTACTGAAGCCACCTGCCAGGACGAGAAAGGCAATAGTGTAACCTGAGATCCCGTAGTAGTTTTCACAGCTAGTGAGAGCCGCGGCCGGGCGCAGGAAACACCCCAGCACCCTACGAACCCCCTACACACAGACCCAACTATAACAGAAAGACACTTAAATGTGTACCCTCGGGAGTGGAACGAACAGGCCCGCCTTCCCTGGAAACCCTTCTTTTAAATCCAGAGATGCATAAAAGGGCAACTTGTAAAAATATTTTGAGGGACCAGGAGGTGCGATCTGCACACACAAACACACACACACACACACACACACACACACACACACACACACACCATGACCTCTCCTGTCCTGCAAATCTCGATTCAAGATCGAACGATAGAAAGCAGGGACAGGTGGAGGAGACTCCCGGTAGGCAGGAGGAATCGTTAGAAACAACCCGTGCCTGTGGCCGGAAGCTGGTGGATTCTGCGCCAGCCTGCTCGCGAGTGCGGGACGCTCGAGGTTCGCAGCCGGTAGCTGGCGGCTGTCCCCCGACCCCGCGGCGCGACTCAGAAGCGCCAGTCAAGCGCAGCAGGGCCACTTGCAGTCCTCGTGCCTTGCCCGCAGCGCACAGCCCCGCGACCCCCGCCCGGCCCCGCGCGCGGGGCTCCCCCGGCGCGTACCTTCCAGGTAGAACGCCCGGCAGCCCTCGTCCTTGAGCTTCTTGAGCAGCAATCCAAGCACCGACTCGCCGCCGGTGTTCTCGTTCCAGTCGCTGCTACTCTCGTCGTAAAGCACCACGGTGTCGGTGCCGCAGCGCCGGGTGAAGCGGTCCCGGTCCTCGCCACGGGTGAAGAGCGCGCGCACCGGCAGGTTGCCCTTTTGCAGGCGCCGCAGCATGATGCCCGGGATGGCCACGTTGATGGCTGACTCGATGTGCGACGACTCATACAGCTCCTGCGGCCGGCAGTCCATCAGCAGCAGCCGCTCGTTGCCCAGCTCCAACTGCTCGTTGAGCCACGCCACGGTCTTGCTGATCGCCATTTCCGACGCGAAGGGCACGGGTCTGAGCGTATCTATCATGGGGGTCGAGCTACCGGAGAGGGCGGGGTGCCTACCAGACGCCCCTCGGGGCAGGCATAGGCCAAGCGCGCTGCGCGAAGCTGCCGCTCTCTGAGCGGGGTTTAATTCCACCTCGTCCTTCCCAGACCGTGTTAGCGGTTGGGGAAAGCGAGACAGAAGTGAAGCCGGCGGTTCCCGCTGCACCCCGCTGCAGCCGCTCGCTCTTGGTGTCAATGAATCTCTTTGAATGAAGCTGCCCAGACAGTTTTGTTCCTCCCCAGTGAATGAAATCCAATTAATTCGGACTCCCTGCTACTAAGAGGGGAGGGGAAAAAAAAAAAAAAAAGTCCAGCGGCTCCTAATCCCTCCCTTCAAGGCTGCACCTCAAATCCGCCCAGGCGTCTTTCTCCTCGGATTATTCAAACCTCGATTTGCTCACTCTCCCTTGGACTCAACCCTCGCACACCCCCTGCGCGAGGCAGCTCCTCAATGGATACAAACAGCGAGCGTCTCAATGGATACATTCTCCCGGCCAGCCAATGAGCGCGCTGCGGAAGGGGCTGTTGCCGTGGGGACGGGCCGGCTGGAACAGGTTGTGTTGATGAATTGTTAATGAGTTTGTCATTCACAAAAACGGAAAGGAATTTCCGCTCCGGATAAGCCCCAGTGCAAACAAGCTGCAACAGCGGGCTCGGCGGGAGGAAGGAGAAAGAAGAGGAGGCGGCGGCGGAGGAGGAGCGGGGCACATAAACCAGGGCACTTCAGTTGTCTCATGTTTCCTTCTGTTGAGAGTTCACACTTCGCGTCGGAACTTTTGCGCACAAATGGTGCAATTAGCAGGCACAAAAGCCCTTGTTCGTGACGCCTGTGTTCGCAAGCTAGCTTTAAGAAAACTTGTGCTTTTTTTTCCTTTTTATTCCCTTTAAACTCATTTGGACAGGAGTTTCGCCTGAACCCCCCTCCTCCGCCCTTCTTTAGGCGGTGTGTGGCATTTGTTTGCCAGTTTAAAAAGCCCAGCTCTGTTTGCTCTGATGTTCTTTTAGCTGAGGCTGTGTTGGGGCTGGTGAACTGCCTGGGCTTTAGTGACCGATGAGGTGTTAAATGCTAATCCAACATCTTTCGAAACAAACTAGGATTTTGTTGGAACATTTTCAAGCAAGCAAGCAAACAAACAAGTGCCTGGTTGTCCAGATAATAGGAAGGAAGGTTGATGGGGGGTTTTTTGTTTGTTTTTAATAGCGTTTAAATTACTTTATTTTGTTTTTAAACAGTGGAGCCTGCAGAAACAAACTGGTTGGACAGTTCGATGCTTTTATTCCCCTCCAGCGGCCTGGGGCGTTATGAGCCATTGTTCCGGGGATCCAAGCCCTACCCCCCCCCCTTCCTGCGGTCACCCACCGCGCGCTGGGGGGTTGCGCTCGTTAATCATTACTGGGCAGCTAGCTCGGCTTCCGACGGAGGAGCCGGTCTGGCGCGGTTGCCGGGTCTAGGTGCATTCTGGGCGCGCGGAGCCGGGCGGCTGTCCCCACCAGCGGCGTGTCGTGGGGAAGTCCTACCGCAAGGCCTGCGGGGGCCCGCGCAGGCTCCGCGATCAGCTACGGTAGACTAGAGAGGCCTGTCAGAGGGGAGCCTTCGGTCTCACCCTGACAACCCCCTCCACTGCGGGTCGCAGGGCACTAGCGAGCACCAGCTGCGCCTGCGCGCTGCGCTCCTGGCCAGCACCCGGTCGCCCCCGCCTCCTGGCTCAGCTGCGCTGGGCGTTGGGCTACCCTGAGGTCGGGTGGGGGGCCGAAAGCGGGCCTCTGGGGTTCCGACGCGGCCTGGGGTGGGTAAGAGGCGAGGAGGAGTGCCTGCCGGGACCCCTTGCTCCACGGAGGGCTGGGAGTCCCAGGGAACGTCTCGGCCGCTCTGCAGGGCCAGCAGGTAACTGAGGAAGTGCCGGCCAGGCGGGCTCGCTGCTTTCTGCCGCGGCGCCGGGGAGCAGGGCGGGCCGGCTGGGGGCCGGATGGAGGCGTGGCCGGGTGGGGGCCGCGGCGGCGAGGAGGCGCAGACCCCGCGCGCAGAGCTCTATTGTTATATAAAAGTGCCGCGGCCTGCCCCTCCCGAGCGGAAAACCACCTGTGTACCGCCGGCTGGGGGCAGGGGGGCCCTGCGGCCGGAAAGCGCGGGCCCTAATCCGGCCTCCCCTCCCTAACCCCCGGCGGAAAAGAGGCCGCGCATAGTCCCGCCGCCGCCCGGGAGGCGGAAGCGGAGGCAGTGGTTCGAAGAGGAGCGTGTCTCCCCAAGTGCCCCTCCCGGCGCCCACCGCGAGTATAGCGGAGGGCACCTGAGGTCGCGGGGTCTCCCCCAGCCAGACGCCCCGCACCCACGGGCCTGCCTGCTGACGCCCCGGCTTCGATTTGCATTTTTAGTCACCCGCCTCTTCCTTGGTTTGGGGAATGTAGGCTAAAAAAAGGCGGCTGCGAGGCCCAGGTTGCCAATTTTGGAGCTGTGCTGCAAGCAGGCCGCCCCTGGAGGAGCGTGTTCAACGAAGGTGGGGGTTGCCGCGCGCTCTCCCCGCGCCTTTTTTGGGCATCCCTTGGAACAAAGTTCCCATATTTCACTGGGTATCATCTAGTTCCAACTGGAGGAGGCCTGCGCTGGAGTTGAAGCCTCCGATCCACCCCCACCTGTTACAGGCCTTCCCACCCCAAGACGTTCCAGTCACTGGGTCCTGGGGGCGAGGCAAGACGCTCTGCAGTAGAACTGCGAAGGGTAAAATCTTTCAGCCTGGGATCTCCAACAGAAGAGACAGGGAGGGAAGTCGGTTGTTACTTCGCTATTGTAAAAGTGCACTACCTGGGCATGAATTTGGGAGGATAACCGCAACACTTCTCAAACCTGAAGACAGAGACGCTTAGTTTGACCTATGCTTCCGAATCCTACATCAACGGAATGTCAGTTCTTCTCAGCACTTTCTAGAAAATGCCATTCGGACCACTCGGTTCTAAGAAGAGGGGCGTAAAGGGTCTTTGAAGCGTGGTGGCCAGGGTTGAAATTGTGCCCCGATCACTTCCTAAACGTGTGGCCTTGGTTAAGTCATCTTTTGTAAACCTCATCTTCCATGTGGCATAATGAAGATAATAAAAATATCCACTTCATAGGTTCTCTGAGATGGTTAAATGGGTGAAGCTTCCTGGCATGATGGTGATGTGCTATTGGCTGTTGATGTTTTTATCGCTCTTAATTCCCAGCCTGCACAATGGTCTGAGTCCTTTTCATCCAGATGCCCTTTGAGGCCTGCCTAACAGCCCGCCTGGAGCTTGGCAGTCTACAGAAAAGCCCTCTGAGGAATGCCCCAGGCAGTTTAATCCATCCCAATTCAGCTGTCAAACAAAGCAGGTGCTGTTACAGACCAGTGTCAAAATCCTTTAAGATGGCTAACACAAAGTACCCCCCTACCTTTCTAACTTCTGCCTAACTGGTCCCCTATTAAACACCCTCTTCTCCAGCCACACCAAAATGATAAAATATTAACAACATGTAGATTGCACATTTACTACGCGGAAGGCTTGGTTTTGATTTCTGTGTTTACATGCATGATTTTGGTCAGTTTCCAGAAAACCCCATGAAAATCATCCCCATTCACAGCGCTTAAGGAATTTGCACGAGGTCACATAGTAACAAACAGTGGGGTCAGGATTTGAGGTCAGACCATTAAGGATTAACACATATGCGTCTTATAGGGTATGATGGAGACCACGCACTGCGCTGTTCCCTGCCAAAATTTGAAGGATTGAGTTCTACGTTTTGAATTTTGACCACCAGGCCTTTTCAGCTTCACATAGTCTGTTGCACCCTCCCCATCAATGTCAAAGATCAAAAGTTAGACTTATTTCCCTGCCGTTTTATATCTGGTTATCTTCTTTGCACACACCTCTTCATTAGTCAGCCGTGCACTAAATGCTGCATATCTTTCTTCCTCCGAATTTGTCTTAGGTTCTAATCCTGACAACTGCCATTACTAATCTAGTGTGTCAGCACTGCACGTGGGCCTGGGTTCAAACCTTAGCTCTGTTACTCACGAGTAGTTTGATAGGAGAAAGTCACTTAGCCTCACTGGCCTCCATTCATTCGTTCATTCACTCATTCACTCTTTTATTCTGGGCTCCAGGAAATCAGGGAATAAAGTGGGCAAGAATACCTACCCTTCCCCCACTCCAAGCTTACATTCTGTTGAAGACAGACAATAGACAAAAGAATTCTACAGTATGTTAGAAAGTGAAAGTGCTGTGGAGAAAAACAAGGGAATTCAGTAGTGTGTAAAATTAGGAATAGTTATACGTTCATTACGGCCCTAGGAGGATTAGAGACACCCAAAAAGTGTAGGGCACAAAGTGAGTATTCAAAAGATGATGTTTTTAAAACTCACTGCCTCGTTCCTGCAGAAAGTTGACTCCCCGTTGCTGGTGATCTTGCCTTGATCCTCATCATCCTGGCCCTGTTGCCCAGGCTCTCAGGAAAAAGGCTCTCAGAAGAATTCTAGCATCAGGAAGAACCACAGGCTTTCTTATTTCCGGAGGCCCCAGTTCCCTGCTGAGGGTATCATTCATATGCAGAAAACGGTGTTTCCAGATTGGAGCATGAAGCAGGTCTTGCCTTACCCCTCAGAAGTGCACAGAAGCAATGTTACATGTCCTAATTTCTCTGTGTGTGTATGTATTTGTGTGAAGGCACCAAGCACTCCGGCTTGAATTCTTTTCATCAAGTGTTTCCCCTGGAAAGCCCCTTGAAAGTAAGTCTTCTGTTTATGAATGCTTGCTTGCCTATTGGAGAAGCATTCCAACTTTGCAGACATTTTCCTGTGTTTGAGGACACTTGCAATTTACTAGACCCAGAAGAGTTAGCATGACTTTTAATCTTCTTGAAGTAATCTCTCTGTGAATACAATATTTATTAACACATCGTGTGAAAATAAGTTCAGTTTTCCGTCAATGAGAGTGTTTTGGAAGGTCTGACTTAAAATGTAGTCTTGTGGCATA